GTTAAAATGTAGGTGTATCCCTAGGTCCCCTTTCTTTACCTCAACAGAAGATTGGAAGATTCATTAATCAATGACAGGATAAAACAGAGATACTCTGGCATGGAGGATAACAGATACCACGCTGGAAATAATGGAATGAAGTGAAAGTATACACGTTAAAATGTAGAGATCCTGCAGCTCTCCCAATAAAATGGTGGTAGCAGGCATACATTTTCAAACAAACTCAACTACTTCCTCATCAACAGCCCCACTTTAAAGGAAATTGTAAAGATTTCAAGCAGAAGGAAGATGATCCCAGCTGGACAAACAGAGATACAAGGAGTGAAGGGCAGGGAAAGTAGTAAATATGTGGACAGATCTAAATGAACACTGACATTATGGGGTTTGAAAATAGAATTAAAGTGTGTAACAACAACAGCATGTAAGTTGGGGGCCACTAAATGGTCCTGGGAAGGGGGTAAAGGTTTGAGAAACATCAGACTTTCCTTAGTTAATGATGCATGTTGTAATCTTCCTGGTATTAACAAAATAGAAAAAAGAATAAAGAACATTTAAACTAGAAAAAGATAAAAACTGGATTATACAAAATAATTAATCTAAAAGAAAGCAAGAAAGAGAGGAAAAGAAAATAAAATAGGAAGGACATATAGAGAGGCTTCAATATAAATAGATCAGTAATTATATTAAATATAAATGGGCTAAATGCAACAGCTAAAAGGCAGAGATTATCAAACTAGATTAAAGAAAAAACCCAACTACATGCTGTTTACAAGAAACAACTCTGATACAGAGAAGTTGAAAATAAAAGGGTTGAAAATGTTATACCACGTAAATACCAACCAAAAGCTAGTTAGAGGAGCTGTATCAATATCAGGTAACAAGTATTTTTAAATATAAAGAGGTTCAATTCATAATGACAGGAACATTTCTCAAGGTCTGTCATACACCTTTATCTAGTAACACTGCCTCAAAATATACAAAGGAAAAATGTATGTAACTAAGAGGGAAACAGACAAATCTATAATCACAGACTGATAGTTTAAAACTCTCTGTAACTGCTAAACCAAAGTGGACAAAAATATCAGTAAAAATACAAAAATTTCACAAACTTGACCTAATGTATGTGGATAAAATGCTGCTCCCCACTACTGGAGAAATGTGCTTTTCAAGCACACATAGAACAGTTGCAAAAAAAGGACCTTATACTGGGTCATAAGGGAAGTCTCAATAAATTGCACAGGACAGAAAAGTATGTGCTCTTTGATCATAACACATTTATGCTAGAAATCAATCTCCAAAAGAGAATTAGAAAATTTCTATTTGTATAGATATTAAGAAATCTATTTCTACACAATGGGCCTAAAAAGAAACCATAATGGAAATCAGAGAACATTTTAAATATACGGTAACAAAAATAACACACATCCAGATCTATGCAATGGAGCTATAAAATACATAGAAAAGGATAAAAGCTTAAAATTAAGAATCCTAATAAATGGACTGATATACCATATTCATGGACTGGAGAACTGACATCTAAACAGTATTGTTTAGATGTCAATTCTCACCAAATTTATTTTAGTCAATGCAGTTTCAATGAATAACTCAATATGCAAGGATTTAAATCATTTTTGTTGGTTAAACTGTTTTTGTTGGTTGATTTCATGTGTGTACATATACATACGCGCACATGAACACAAGCACAAAATGTGTGGAATTTGACAAGCTGATTCCAAACTTTTATGTGAAAATACAAATGATCAAAAATAGCCATAACATTCTTAAAAAAGAAGAGACAGGTTGGAAGGATTGACTCAACTAATATTGAGGCATGTTACAAAGTGATAATACTTAAAGAATATGATATTGGTGTAGGGACAGACAAAGAGATCAATGGAAAAGAAAACAAGAGTCCAAATACAGACCCACACATATTTGGATTGTCCCAGCCCAGTAACTGGGCTGGGACAATTGTGTATCCATACAAAAAAATATAAAAATAGACCCCTAATTCACACCATACACAAAAATCAACTCTAAGTGAATTACAGACCTAAATACAGAAGGTAAAACTATCAAGTATTCAGAAGATAACACAGATTATCATCATGACCTCATGGTTGGAAAATATTTCTTTAACAAGATACATACCCAAAGAACTAACCAGAAAGGAAAAGTGACAAATTTGACTAAAAGTTAAGAACTTCTGTTAATTAAAATAAACTATAAAGAGAATGACAAGATAAGTCACAGAATGGGAGAAAGAAAACATTAGCAAACATGTAGTTGACTAAGAACTTCTATTTAGAATATACAAAGATCTATTACAAATAAATTATAGAGAGAAAACCCAATGAAAACATGGGCAAAAGGTTTGATCAAGCACGTTTTATGTACACACACACACACAAAACCCAAATGGCAAATAAACATGTTAGAAGATGCTCAGCCTTTTTAGTCATGCAGGCAATAAACGAGATCTGTAGTCTTTCCTATGGTGGCATGAGGGAGGAGTGCAGGTGGTATACAAGAGTAAATCCTCGTGTAATAACAAATAGGATTTATCACAATCTGATATACACACCAAGAAATAGCAAGCAGCAAAGTGTATTGTTGAGACATACAAAAACAACTGCTAGAAAAGCGAGCTCAGAGTGAACTAAAAGTGTAGAGAGTGGAGCCAGAGACCTCATTCCCTCATTCAATACCTTTTGGCATTATAAAAAAAGATGCATTATTTTGATGAACAGAAAATATAAGAAAGGAAAAAACCTAAGAATGGGTGGGGGAGAGTGAATGGGAGGTCAGGAGGAAAAGTCAGGGTAGTCAGAGAATTCTCTGGCAAACTTGCCTGTGGGCGAGAACAGAGGAACAGCATGGAAGGCACCTGGTGCGGTTTTATTCTGTAATCTGAAATCATGTCCCTTTCGCTCTGGCGACTACGAAGCCAGGTTCTAATTTATGGCTCACATCTAAAGACTGATGATGGTATGTTATCTCATATCTTACCATGCCCAAAATTTACAGGCCTTTACAATGTGGTAGGCTTTAATAAATAAAACTCCAAAGAATTAACGAATATGCATAATACTAAACTAGTAATATTTTAACTTTTCTTGATAATTTTAAGAATATCCTGGGGTCTTGCAAGTCTTATTAATTATCACTGTAAAAGCAAGTTATCTATACAGATTATCCATATACATGTTGAATGATTTCTCTACTACATGAACAGGTTACTGTGGTTTCCCTGGACGTGTTCTGTCCCCTCCCTGTGACTCAGGAGGAGGCAGGACAGGAACGCGGCTTAGAACCAGGCACACGCCAAGCGTACATTCTGGGTCTGATCTTAGGATGAGCCACTGAGACTCTCTCGGTGTACATCCTCATCTACAAGATGGGGGTGACGACAACAGTACCTGCGCTTCGGGAAGCTGGCAGGATTAAATAAGGTGATGTGTAGAAACACAGTGAGGATTCAGGGAATGTGTCTGGAAAGCAGGAGGGAAGGAAAAGATCAGTGCCTAGCAACGAGGAGGCCAAAGAGACTGTAAGTGTGAGCCACAGCATGTCTGTAGGGCCACAAAGTGCCGTGTCAGAGCCAAAGACTCGTGATCAAAACCTCTGTTCACCTGGAGGTCAATTACGGGTATATGAAACACTGCGTGAATGAATTTCTTTTTTCATAATAATTCATCTTTTTCATCAGGAAGAGCACCAACTGTAACTGCGCTCGAGCTTTCTTGTACTGCTTTCCTGTGACCCAAAGCTTTACTTTTTTCTTTTCCCTTTCTTTTTTTGGAGTTAAAACAAATTTCAAAGCTCCATAAGGCACAGAGCCTGTCGTGCCTGATTAGAATGTGATGCGGTGAGCCAGCTCTGTTTTACCTCAAAGAAGAGTCTTCTGAGGCTGTTTGTCTTTTCCTGACTGAGCTTATAAACTGTTGTGCTCTTTAAAATCAGAGTTTCTTCTATTGCTAATCAGACAAATGACGGTATCTTTAGCATAGTAATAGCACGTCTCTATCTACGTACTTTAAATACATGATTTTCATCAGCTCCTTTGCTCTTCTTCACAGAAACCACCGGGGGGGTGTTCGTTAAATGCCCCCGCCCCCCATCTTCTCAGTCCTAGGCCGGACTACTCACTGTCTGTCGGGCTTACACTCTCCATGTCCTTATTCATCCCCCTCCCCAAACACGTGCAACTGACACAAGGGCATGCAAAGGCCAGGGCAAGAGACTGGACTGAGTCTGGCTCTCACCGGGAAGTCTTGAACTTACACAAAATACCTCTCAAACCTAAACAGGCTGAGCTCCTCATCACTGTTCTAGATCAGTTTCCTACAGTGCCACTAAGGTGACATGATGGAATAAGTAGGTTCCCAGTATGCCCTCCAAGAAGGGTGGTCACTCAGGCAAAGGCAAGAACCGGAGCCCCCAGCTTCAATGAAGAGGCTCACAGGACAGAACCCGTCCAAAATGGGTACTTGGTGCTACTGAGACGTCTCTCCCCATTCCTGGGGCCTCCGAGTGCCCCTCATGTCTCTCTGTCACTAACCCATGGCTAAGATGCTTCTTCCCAAAGGACCGGATACTTAGACTGTCTAGAGCAGAACAAAAACAAAAACAAAAAAACAAAAGAGCCCCCAAATGCTTCACATTTACCCCAAGGAACACACACGGTTTGGAAAGGTGACATCGGCGCCCTGCCACACACATGGGGACCGTGGAGGAATGTTCTCCCCGCCTCCAGAATTTTAAAGCACTTGTGAGGAGAAGGCTGGTTTAGAATGTCCCCCCAACCTTGGACACTCCAGCTCACTAGCCCACATAGACCACAAGAGTGATATTGCAGCACCCTAACTCTGAGAAAGTGGCTTAGTTCTGAGGAACAAGCACACAAGAAAGCCAGCGGTCCCACGCCCAGTGAACCCCAGGAAAGGGAACTGCGCCGTCCTGACTGCAGACGGACGCTCGTGCCTCCTGTGCAAGGATACAGGGGTTACTGTCGTCGACGCTGCAGCTGTCCAGGATCAAGGGAATGCCGTCCAGCTCGCTGACCTGCAGAGAAAGGAAAAGGCACATTTATACACTGAGAAAAGCTTGGGTCACATTGGAGATATAGAGGATTTGTTTCTTTCTATTTCCTTACTCACTGCTACAATAGAATAGCATTCTGTTGTATTTCAAGCCTGCCCCATCAACCACAGCAGAGTTCTAAATGTGACCTTCGACAGTGAGGCAGGCAGACACAGGAGGTTAGGCATTAGTGACCGGCCTGCCCCAGTGGATTCAGATGATGATGAGATGTCAGTTAACAGGTGACCCTCCTCCTCCCCCTGCTGGAGCCCGGTCTCCTGTACCCCCCACCACCCCAACCTCCGACGACTCAGCCCAACACCCACAGTCACCATCTCCGAGCCTGCCGCTGTGCATGCCGTCCACCTCCTCCCGCTAACTTACACTCTGCTGTTCATACGCTACTTCTACTTTCCACAGGCTGCGTATTTATTGTATCATTCCTGCTTTTACGACACGTTAGTGTTACTTTAGGTTTTATGTGTTATTTGGTAGGGTTTGATAGGTTATTTTTTGGGACTGAAAATGCTCAAAAATTTTTCCATGTAAATTAAGCGTAACTGTTTCTTTGCCTTCTGCCCTCTCAGCTTATGAGGCTTCAGAAGACCGCTCTACTTTTGGTTATCAGGGGAAACCTGTATCTAAAACAGCTACACCAACCCAGAAATATTTAAAAACAGACATATAAACAAAAAGGGATACATTATTTTTCCTTTCACCCTTCCTCAAAAATGCTGGGGCAACTGGATAGCCACATAAAAAAGGATAAAGTGGATCTCTTCCCAATACTGTGCACCAGGATAAACTCCAAATGGAGCTGAGTTTATTATAGTTCAGCAGTACTAGTAAGTAGATCGTTTTTCTATGTTAAGAATAGGAAAAGCTTTTCAAACTATGATTCGCAAACCTGAAGCAATAGGAGAAAGGTTTTAAAAGTTGGACTACATTTTTTTTTAAGATTTTTTTTTAATTTATTTATTTGGGAGAGAGAGAATGAGAGAGAGAGAGCACGAGAGGGAAGAGGGTCAGAGGGAGAAGCGGACTCCCTGCCGAGCAGGGAGCCCGATGCGGGACTCGATCCCAGGACTCCAGGATCATGACCTGAGCTGAAGGCAGTCGCTTAACCTACTGAGCCACCCAGGCACCCTGGACTCCATTTTTTAAAAAGGCAAACAGAAACTGGGAAAATTATTTGTAAGATATCACAGGCAAAAAAGGTTCATATTTTAATATATAAAGAACTTGGAAAAATTGAGAAAAGGCCAGCAATCCAGTAGAAAACAATGGATCCAATACATGAACAGAAATGTCACCGAAACAAAGAAATGCAGATGGACCATGGACATCGGAATACGTTCAACTCTGCAAACTGCTAGCACACGGAGACACCCTTCTCACCCAACAGTGTGGCAAAGGAGTGGGCGGCGGGGAGCCAGGCGTCCTCACACCCTGCTGCAGCGCAGAGACGGCACAGCCCCCGCGGAGGGGCTGCGTGGGGTGAAGCGGACTCTCTGACCCAGTCGTCCCAGTCCCAGGACAGCACCTCAAACAGCACTGTCACACGAAGTTATGTTTGCACACATTATTCACTGCAGCACACTTTCTATTTTTATGTTTGAGATTCAATTCACACACGATCATGCTCACCCTCTTAAAGCATACAATTCAGTGGATTTTAGTTTATTCACACAGTGGTGCGACCATCACTGCTACCTAGTTTTGAGACACATTTATTATACCCAGGAAGAAACTCCATACCCATCAGTCATTCCTCATATCTTCCTCGGCCCACGTCTTGGCAACCACTGATCTGTCTATGGGTTTTCCTATTCTGGACGTTTCGTATAAATGCGACCTTTCGGTATGTGGCCTCTTCTTTCAGTCAGCGTAACACTTTCAGGTCCATCCGCACTCCAGCATGTAACAGCACCTCATTCCTTTTTACGGCTAAATAATATTCCACCGTCTGGACAGACCACATTCTATTTATCCATTCATCCGCTGACAGACATGTGAGTTCTTCCAACTTTCCGGCTATTATGACAATGCTGCTGTATATCTGGAGGGGAAACTGCTTGGTCTTGGTGACTCTTTAACATTTTGGGGAAGCGCCGGAGCGTTTTTCAAAGTGCAGCACCATTTTCTATTCATGCGCGAGGGTTCCAATGGCTCCACATCCTTCTCAATACTTGTTTAACCATCCTCGTGGGTGTGAAGTGCTGTGTCATTGTGGTTTTGACCTGCATTTCTCTGGTAACTAATCACGTTGCGTACAGCACAATTCGTAACCACAAAGATCCCAGAAACGACTCAGATGTTCACCAACACAGGCTGGTCGAATAAACTATGGCACAGACACCAAGGTAGATAGCTGTGAAAGGGAGTGGGGACGACCTAACGCACTACTCTGCAGGCATCGCCAGGACAGAATGGTAAGTGAAAAAGCCAAGTGCAGCACAGGCTTATCTGTGAACCTTTTGTGTCATGCATCAGGAGAGATATACAAATTTGCTTCTATTTCCCAAAAGACACAAGGAAGCGTTAAACAAAAAGCTAATAATGGTTATCCACAGGGGAAGATGAGAGAATGAGGCACGAGAAACAGGAACGGAGGCGAGGCCTCTGTTAATGTACCTGCTTATGTAATTCTGACTTTGGAATCCTGAATATATTTTATATAATTTTCTAAAATTAAATTTATAATGGATGTTTACTAGACTTACAGTGATTATTTCGCAATATGCACAAATATTGAGTCATTATATTTGTACACTGAAGGTAATATGCTATATGTCAATTATGCCCCCCAAAAAGTTAAATTTACAAAGTTATAAAAATAGAAGACAGAAGCAGATTAATCTGATGACATGTAAAACAAAGAAAAACTATTTCACAGAATTGAAACAGTATTTGACTTTAGGTCCCTGATGAGATGTATCCTAAGCTCAGAGAGAAATCTTCAAATGGCATTCAACTTATTTATTCTGAATTTTTATATATTTAAAGCAAAGGGTACCTAATGTTATTAGGAACTAAGATTTTCAGCATAAAAAAGAAGTATCAAATCCAGAAGATAATTTTACACTTATAAATTAGAAATATTAGCAAGATTTCCTGATCTATTTTTCAATTTCTAAAAAAAACTTCCTAGCTGCTTACTGTAAAGGCCTTAGCGAAGACAAGTAGAGGTGAGCATTCCCAGTACTGGATGAATTACAGATCTTCCTCGACTTACAATGGGGTTATGTCCCAATGAACCCATCGTTAACTACACCCAACCTACCGAGCATGGCAGCTTAGCCTGGCTGACCTTAAGCGTGCTTGGAACACTCACATTACTAGCCTACAGTGGGACAAAATCATCTGCCACAAAGCCGATTTGATAATAAAGTGTTAAATATCTCATGTAATTTGCAGTCCAGAGAGTGAGAAACAGAAAGGCTGAAGAGTACAACATGGCTGTCAGCGTATCAGCTGCTGCTGACCCTTGTGATGGTGTGGCTGATGGGAAGCTGTACTGCATGTCGCTAGCCCGAGAAAAGATCCACACTCAAAATTCCAATGCAATTTCTACTGAACGAGTTATCCCTATCACACCATTGTCAGGCTGAAAATTCCTAAGTTGAGCCACCGTAAGTGGGGGACCTGTCCCAGTGGAAGACGGCGGACCTCCCACTGCACGCGATGCACACACCCGCAGCAGGGTCACCGCTACCGACCACCATCAGTTTCACAAAGGCAGACAGGAAGAGAATAAATCTAAAAGAAATGAATTTAATAGACACCTAGTACACACGAGGCAACGACAAACACTTTCATCATGTTTCCTTTCATTCTGACAATGCCAGGGTAAGCATTATTGGCTCCATTTTACTGATAAAGGAAGTGGCTCATGAGTTTAAATACCCTCCCCAGGATCACTTAACTAACGAGTGTTATTCAAAGTGGCCTGGAGACCACCGGAAGTCTGTGAAAACAGACCGGGAGAGGAAAAAGTCAGAAAATGTGCTAACGATTTAACAGGGTTATGCTGTTATGCTGTTATGTCCCCTGAATCTTATAATAACATCTAGGTTTGAGTCTTCCAGGTCTTCTAAAAATTTTTATTTTTCTAGTAATTCATTTGTATTATATTTCATAAACATATTGAGGAATAAAAATATAAATATATACTTACATATAAATATATAAAAATTAATTTATAAATATCTTTGGGGAAAAGAGGAGCAGTTCTTCAGCACCGGTGGTGTGAGGAGCATTGGCACCGAAGGTCAGAATCCTAGAGAAGGCTGCACCTGGAAGGGGTCATGTGTTTGAAAAGAGCAGAAGGAAATTTTTGGGCCAAACTCGGAGTGGTCCCACCTGAGATTATATTCAAAGCTTCCCAATGCAACCCTCATGCCACACGTCTCCTCCAATAACCTGCCACGCATCTACCAGCAGGACTGGGATGCTAACAATGACATCTCCAACGGCTCTGCTCGGGGGTGAAGAGGAGGGATCCAGGCAAGCAGCGAGGGCCTGCTGGATGGCACAGCGATGAAGGAATACCAACCGACCCTCCAGCCCTTTGCAAATGTGTGATCTTAAATCCTTCTGGAACATACCGGAATAGCTGGGTGTCTGACTATACAGCACCGGACTCACAGGGAAGGCCTCCCTGCAGAAGTGACATTTAGCTCGAGATGAGCATAAACATGCACTGAGTGGACAAATCAAGGGGGCCGTGGAGAATGTTTTGCAGGGAGAAGAGTGTGTGCAAAAGCTGGGAGATCTGAAGGAACAGGGACTGTTCCAGGAACTGGCTGGGCAGCACGGCATGGGGATGAAGAGCGAGAACCAGGGAGCCAGCGTGCTGGGGTCGAAGCCTGGTTCTGCAGCAGCACTGCTGAGCCGTGTGACTTTGGGCAAGTCATTTAACCTTGGAGATTGCGTTTTCTCGCCCATAAAATGGGGAGGGTGGGTCTCGCTTCTAAGGGTGG